TAGCATAGTTACAAGGTAAGACTCTTTGGCGAAAAACCTCATCCTGGCATCCAAAAGTTTCTAACAACTACTTTGATTAACTTTAAGAAGAAACCTTACCAATAGAACATAGTAATGTTAGCGAACTCCTTACGAAGTCGAGAATTTGCAAGTGCTGACTTTACAAACGAACTCACATAAACGACGACTAGGTCAAGAGAGCTTCTGCAACTACAGAAAGTACATACTACAGTGGAAAAACTGGGATTTTACAGGTGCTAAAGCAAATTCCTGATTTTTTCTTAGCGTTAAAGTTTAGTTTACAAAATTTTTTCAATAAATATGTTGAAAGAATTCCACCAAGAATGGGCAGCATTTTCCATTTCGATTGTTTTTAACGGATGCGATGTGATGAGATTACACATGACCTTTTATCACTCATCTATTTTGTTGTAAACAGAATGATATAAGATTGAACAAAGACTATCTGCCATGTATTATCATCATTACTACCAAAAACACTGCAAATAGTCTCAATCCAGTCAGGAGTCCCATATAGCCTACCTTAGAAAAGAAAACGATTTCAAGAAAACTGAATAATCTGACTAGGTTTCATGGGATTTAGAATATTCCTAAGTGGGTAAAAATCGCTCCTACTTGAAGTTTAATCAAAAATGGCTTCCTTATCGGGAAGGGAATGAACTTTGTGCCAAAATCCTATCTTTCGTTCACTGCCGCTCTAGGTACGCTAATGACCGTCACGCACTTCACGTGAAAATCACCTATAGTTTGATTGACCATTTAAGAAAAGCGACCCTGCACTTATCGCTTTTGGTGGAATAAGTTTAGCAAACTGAAGTCTAAATCATTTAGAAGCTATGCAGAAAGAGATGTACGAGACGATATTGCAAAGAGGTGAGCGGTTGTCCTTTTCTTCCTATTTTTTTAAAATGTGTATAGGATTTTTTAAACTTTGTGTTTTTATGAAATTCAGATATTTAAACATTGCGGTGCATTGAAAATACATTTTTTG